GGCGGCGGGGCTCCCCTGGACCGCAGTGAGTTACCCCGCGGGGCGACAGGGGAGGGGAAGGCAGGGCCGGGGAGAGGGGGGAGAGGGGTGTCCCCGTCCCGTCCCGTCCCGTCCTCTCGCAGCCCCCGTCCCGTTCGGGATCCCGGTGCAGAGCCCCCCTTTCCAGGCCGGACGGGGCGCTCCCCGGGGAGCCCTCGGGGTTGGGGGGGGGGTAGGTGGGTCCTGTCCCCCTGGAAGGAGTGTTGGGGAATTTGGCTTTTCCGCCTTTGGCCTTTCGGCTCTCTCCTTCCTCCTCCTCCTCTTCCTCCTTTCTGGAGACCTGTCAAGATGTGACCTTGCCGGGGAGGGCAGAGCCCGGTGTCGCGGCTCGGGGGTGGCCCCGGTTCCCCCCGTGGCGTGGAGCGGGGCCGGGAGGCAGCGAAGATGCTTTGAATAGCGCTGTGATGAGAGCAGCGGGGCAGGCAAGGGAGGAGGGAGCGAACACCCGGGAGATGCGAGCCATAGCCTCCTAACGGGTTCCTCTTCTCCAAACTTTTTATCCACTTTGGGTGGGTACTAAGTGCAGTTACCCTCTTCTTTTTGTTCTTGGTGGTGTGTTTTTTTCCCCAAAGTGGAGAAAAACAGTTATTTCTATCACAGCTGTGTGGGTTTTTTACCTTTCTCTTCTTTTCTACAATTACAAGAAAGTTTTGAACGGCCCAAGTGTTTTGTAAAAGCCTGTGTTATTGTTGCTGCTGGTTTTTTAAGTATTATTAGTGATGGGTGCCAATCTAATTTGGTAGCACTTCTTCAAATAGTTAAATGCTCACATGTATTTATACTTTTCCGCGCTTATTCATACTTTCTATCCGTGCTTATTCGTGCTTTGTAGTCCCTTCATTACACACTATAGATCCCCTGATTCTTACTCCTAAGAGACAAGTTTGGTTCCAGTCTTACAGCTTTAGACTGTGGCCATGCAAAGAGCTCCCCTGGACGGCTACTCCCACAAAAGTCCATTACAGGACTTCAGCTTGTCCATTTGTTCCTTATTATATGTGACGTGAAGGCTAAAAACACATATTTATTGTTCCAACAGTGTAAGAGATCTGATTTCTTTGGCCAGGATAAATCCTCTAGTTATAATCTGTTTTTTGTGCCTGGTGGGATTAGCTGGGACATGAGAAGATGGGTTGTGCTTCCAGTCTACTTCGTGTTACATCTTTCATGCAAATCTACCCAAGCTTCTTAGTGTGCAGAAATACTCCCCCAAATATCCTTAGAGAAGGCTGTGGAGGTACGTAGATGACTTCTGCAGTGAGGGCAAAACCAAACCACTCGGAGGTATTTAAAATAGTGGTTCTAAGGAGAGAGGGGCTGAGTCAGGTGTTTGGAGCCCCACAGCTGACGGTCATTTGGCTGCCAGCAATGCAAAGGGAGAGGGAGGGGATGGGAGAAACGGGCAGAGAGTGTGTGGACAGAAGAGATACGCAGGAGGAAACAACTTTTCTTATTAATTGGCTTCTTCCTCTTTGCCTTTAGCCAGGGTTATCTTTATATCTTTGCTATAGAAGTCATTCTGGTTTAAGACTGAAACTGGAAACAGTGGCATGGCTACAGTCGCTACCAACTAAAACAGAAGATGGGGCAAATCATGACATTATATCAAAGTTCAATTATATAAAAGTCCAGATTCTCCCACGTCCACCCAAGACCTTGCTGCTCGCTGCATGCGGGAGGCGTTTAAACGCTGCTGGAAGGAGTGGGAGGGTGAAACCCTCCCAGGCAGCTCCTGGTGGGCTCTGGAGCATCACGGAGGGAGAGTGGCTGTGCCCGGAGAGCTGAGGCTCTGCAAGCTCGCTGGGCACTGGGCGTCATGGTTTCCTGGCCTCGTGGCCAGGATCCTGGAACCTGCTAACAGCAGAAAGGTTAATTTTTGACCCACCCCACCCTTCCTCTTGGCCCCAGTACCTCTAAAAGCCTGTTTTGTTTTAAGAGAAATCAGAAGCCAGAGCGAAAGACAAACAGTATGTGTTTTCTTTTGGCTGTTAAAACTAAGTAATGTTTTCTTCTCTTGGGACTGGGGCGGCTGCTTTTGTATCTCCACGTGGTGACTCTTTCCAGAGATCCTATGGAGCTGGTGTAGGAGGGAGTGATTCTCAGAGCAATTAATATTTTCTCCTCTTGTTTCTGCATTGTTTTCTGTCGCGTGTCCCAGGTGGGAACCCTACTGTAAGTCACACCTGGGACCGACCAAGAGCTATCACCTCAACTTATCTGATGCAACAGCCTCCTCATTTATTGCTGATAAGTTACCCAATGAACAGCTTTTGTATTTTTTCTGGGCAAAGGATAAGAGGCTCCCTCCATTAGGGCCAGAAAGCTGAAGAGCTGCTGGGCTTGGAAGGATACCTACAGGACATCACTGTTTCCCTCTCTTACATCCATAACAGAGCTTTCTTCTTACCTACCTAAAGGGCACTGCAGAACAACCTGTGTATGGAAAGCCAAGTATGTTTTCTCTTTCCAGAGAGGTGAGTCCTTTTGAAAGGCTGTAAGGAGTCACAGAAAATACTCCCTTTCCTCTCAGTCACACGTAGGATGGAGCATAAGCCGCTGTGATGCCTCCATGCCACCTCTGCTCCCGGGTCAGGACCTTAGAGCAAGTCTTCAAGCATGGCAGTTCCTCCCCAGCTTTATGTTCTTCTCCTCTTCCCCACCAGACCAGTGTGTGGTGGAGGAAGCAAACATCAGATGGCCTGAGTGTGGGTGTTTGCATAAGCGATGCTTAAAAATGGAGGCTCTGTCTGACCTCCCCTGATGTATATGTAGCTCTGCTATGCAACAAAGTTAAGCATATAAATAAGTTTGGATGAAAGCAAATAAAAGGCCTAGGAGAATATGCTGTAATCATCGGTACCCACTGGCTTCCATGGCACAGTGTCACCATACGCTAGGAGAGGTTCTGGCCGTGAGGTTCATCTTGCTGTAACGTTAAAGCCAAAGGCTGAGGGACCAGCCTGAGGTGCAGGATTCGTGCTCGGTATACCCTGTGGGTACTCTGGCATTCACGCGTGCCTAAGCTGATGTGGGGCCTCGTCTAGCTGACAGGGAGGTTTGGGCTGGGCTGGGCTGGGCTGGGCAGGGCAGGGATGGATGATAGCATGGGCTCTCATGAGTGATAGCTTTCCTTTGAAGGTGATGCTGAAATTGACTGTCAATCTGGTTTTAAAAAAAACAAAACCAAAACAAAAACAAACCCACACCACATCTTTTTTCTTGTCATGTGACTAAATCAAGGTATTCCTATCAGGGAGCCTTATTGGCAGGACCGTCGTCTCATGGGCAAGAAGGTGGGTTTTTTCCTGTTGTTGTTGAGGTCGTTGTATTTTTCCTTTTTTTTTTTTTTCTCTCTTTTTTTTTTTTTTTTCATTTGAGTATTTTTGGCTGGTCTCCTGCCCAATAGGTATTTATAGGAATCTTAAATATGTTTACAGCCGAGTGAAGAAAAACAAGCAGGCTGATGTGAGCTGAAGATGGGTACAACTCTCCTCACATGAAATGTGGCCTGTTGTCATCCAAAACAAGTTGTAACAGGCAGGAGGCTGCCTCCCTGCCAAGAAACCCCAGGAGCTGGAGACAGGCTGTTTGCTCCCGCTGCTGACGGGCTCTAACCTCTGTGGAGTGGGCTCCCCAGTCGACGTGTTTTTCTCATCTTTGCTCCCTGAAGCACAGCACACTTTGCTCCCACAAGTGACTGCTGGAGACAGGGAGATCTTCCTCTTGCAGGGGTGAATGAGGTGTTGGGGAGGGAGAAAAATACCAGTAAAGGGCAGAGCAGCCAGGTCTGGAGAGCGAGTCCTCTACCCTGTCTTTACTGCTTTAGCATCCTTGGCTTGGCAGCATGGCTGGAAGGGGGCAGGGACCCCCTGCCCCAAGATATTGCTTCTTCCCAGAGCTGTGATGCTGTGTTTGGATGGAAAGGCTGGTGGGTTGGGGACCTCCTGCTAGCTGGGTTTTTCTCATCTCTGCCCAGCAGTGCCCCGTCTCTCCCCCCCAGTGCAGAATGGTATGACTCTGAGGGAGTGAGGCTGGCATCAGCGAGCCATGCTTGTTGGTAAGGAAGGTGTTCAACCATCACCCTTTGCTTTAAAACCTTGTGTCAAAGCAAGGTTAGTAAACTTAGTAAAGTTTAAAATTCGCTTAGTAAAAGCGAATCCTGATCCTTGAAGAAACTTGGAGGTGAGGTAATTCCCAGCCGTTGCTGTGCAGACTCTTTTTTTTTCTGCTGCAAAGACCATGGTATCTCAGGAGCCTATAAATCACTTGCAGTAATTTCCTTTATTGCAGGTGTGAGTGTCACAGCGAGCCAGGCGCAAGCAGGGTGTGTAGGATTAGATTAGATTGTTGGAGGTGCAGCTTGTAGGAACAAGGTATCAGGGGCCCTTTAACCCACGTTTCCTGGCTGCTTCAACCTTCCTCTGTTCCTCCGCATTTATTGTTGCTTGTAAATAACACTGGGAGTGTGTTATCTTCCCCTCTCGGGTTGTGAGAAGCAGTTTCTGTGTCTCCTCCAGTGTCACAGGCTGCTGCTTTTCTAACTCAGTAGCGTGTAGCTCCACTGTGTGAAGTGGGAAATAGAAGGGGGCCAGAAGAAACCATGGGGAGTTGCGAAGGAAAAAAGTCCTTATGGCAAGACTTCCATCTCCCCAGGATGTACATCTGTAGTGTCCCTTTCCTTCCCCAAAAGAACTCTCTGATCTTCAGGCATCTGGGCCACCACAAAGCAGCGTGAGCTGCTTCAAACCTGACCTGAGTGTTGGCATGAACGGGCAGGTGTGTGTGTGTGTGTCTGTAGGAGAAAAGGAGCTGGCAGAAAGCTGAACCTGCTCTCATTGAGTGTCATGGACTTCCTTCTCCAGCCTGCCTGCCCAGGCTCCCTCAGAAGCGCCGACAGGTAAGGGTGAGCACCCCGAGAGAGGCAGTTCCACTCGCACCCAGGCGGGCTGACTTCTGCAATCGCTCACACGCCAGGCTGCTTGCCTC